TTTACTCTATCCCCTCTTGGGCCTAACCAATCAAAGTCAATACAATTCCTACATTTCTAAAAATACACTTAGTTTACAGCCTTCAGACTTAAACAGACTTGATTGATCCACACAAAAAAACTACAAACGTGTTTTCTCTTGTATTTAAAGCTTGACATCAATGCGGGAACTTTACATCCTTTAGCAGGAAAATCTACACAAATTCAATTCAATACCACAGCCCATTTTTTATGCACAACCTAACATAAAGCCCATGAAAAAACCTTTGATTGGTTCCAATTAAAATGTTACTCACCAGTGTTGTTCATTTCTTTAATAGAAAGGATGCACCCGATCTTTCATCTGGGAAACTAGTCAAAATTCATCAATCCACGAATGAATTACATTTCAAAGGACAACATGGCCATGGCATGTAATCTCTGTGGTTACTGGTGATAATAATCCTGTGGTTGTTGTCATGGATCAGCTGCAGCAGAGTCTTGACAGAAAAAGTTTCACTATATATCCAAATGGCCATATTTTTTTTTTTGCAACTTCGAATTCATCCCATGAAAATTATTAACTGAACTGACAGAAAAGTGTGCAGTCCACAAGCTGTGCTGCTGCAGGTGATCGCTGGAGCCATACCTCTCCTCCACTTGAGCACAGTATCACTCGCACAGATCCACCATATTGAATACAGTACGATGCATGCATTAAATTAAATTTATTATTTCCATTATCAACATTCATCCAGTTGTAAGCTGTAGAGTTGCCACAGGACGCTTCGCGGACTGCTCTCATAACATTAGCATAGTGGTTTCATAGGTGCAGTTGACTGCTTAAACTAAACTTTACCCGAAACTTTGACTCTTAAAACCCACATGTGCCAACAGGGAACCGTCAACATATCGCCTCAAATTGCATTAAAAGTGACATTCGTGTCTTAATTTGTTCGTGTTTTAACTTATAAAGCAATTCTCGGACTTTCTGTCCGCCATCTTGGTTTGTTTCGGCTGCCGAAACAGGTTGCATTACATCATTAACAGCTGAGCATTACATCAGCGTCACAACTCGGCAAGCTGCACAACTCGGCAGGACACCGGCCCTCAGGAGAACGCGGAAACCAAAGCAGAGTTGGAGACCAGACTCAAGAGGAGAGACACGCAGAAGGGACACGCAGGACACCCAAGGAGCGGCACCAGGAGCGGTCCCTGTACCAGCCCGGAGCGGCACCAGGATCAGCGCAGAGCGGACGAGACAGACGTCTCGTCCGCTTGTATTTAAGTTGTTGTGTGTATATTTGTATGAGAATCCTTCCCATAAGTGTGGAGATTACCAACGAGTAATGAGTGACCGGAGTATTCTCATCTGGACCTGGTCTGGACCTGGTCTCACATACGTACTTTTGACTTTGTAAACTGTTGGTTTTGCACTTTACTTTTGTTTTCAATAAATATGTGATTGTATCCCAAGACTGTGTTTCATTCATTTATTATTATTGTAGCTGAGGTTTGGGTATCGATTGTTTGTCTGGTCTCGGAGTCTGCTGTAGTCCGGACCCGAGTCCGCACTAGCCTAGCCTAGCCTAGCCGCTAACTCGCTACCCCTATGGCTGCCGCTGTCTCTCCCTCGGTCCTTTACTGCTCGAGTTGCCATATGACGAGTTTAAACCCTGGATCCTCCTCTGAGGGCAGTGATAGATGTGTTAAGTGTAGTATAGTAGTAGCTTTGGAATCCAGGGTTAGTGAGTGAGCAGAGTCTCGAGCTAGCGCTAGCATTAGCTTTAGCCTAGCAGTATCCTCGGACATGCAGCCCTCCTCCTCTGCTACACAGGCTGCTGTTGCTACAGGTCCATTCAGATTGTACAGAGCAGTCAGCACCATTGACTTCAAAGTGTCCGAGTCATTCTTTTAAGACATAAGCATTTTCAAAAACTACTCGTACTGTGCTGAATTTTCTATTAAACACTTGCTCTGGTATTATAATAAATCCATGCACCGCACCAGTACTAGTTACGCGTCACACGTAAATGACGTGGTCTGACAACGCTGAGGACATACTAGGGGGTACTATTTTTGATGGAAAAGCACGCAAACTGGGCCATGGCGCGCCGTGTAGAGTCAAAACGTACCGTACTAGGACTGTGGAAAAGCGGCATTAGTGACCCATCTCTGCAGAGTCTCCTGTGGCGGACGGACGCTGTGCAGCAGGAGCGGGTCAGGGATCTACAGCAACCCGGGGTTCGAGACGCACACCGAATCTGTGGAGGGAAGGACGCAGCGCGCACCATCGGATCCCACCAGGAGTGTGGAGAGAAGGCCAGCGTAAAGCTAAGTAAAGGGATGTCTGTAGACATGTCTGTATAGCCTCTCATTGTCTTTGGGGAATTTGCAGTTTTGGTTTTTAAGTGTGATTCCCCCCCCCCCCCCCCCGGGACAGCGGAGCCGCTCAGCCTGGATCAGCAGGACCAGACCAGGTGGCTAGACTGCGCACGCCAGATGAGTTAAAGGGACGCTTCCCCACTTACTCTGATTGCTCCTGTAGTCTATTCCTTGCCTGTCTTACCTGGCACTGAGAGAGTCTTCCTTCCGGAAGCCAAATCCGGAGAGGCCCTAACCCTAACCCTTCAGACTAACTGTGGGGGGAAAAAAACATTATATCCACTCTCAGCCCAAAAAGTCAAATGATGACTCAGAGGGCTCTTATGTGTGAAAAATAATAATTTAAAAAATGGCCTGCAGTGTGTTTTGTTTGATTTGTTCACAACATTTTACTTTTCTGCACAAACAATATGCATTTTTAATGCATGGGGAAAACTTTGGTATTGGAGTTTTAAATTTAGGAGTTTTGGTTGCGCAAGAGACGGGTGGAACGTCCTGAACACGAGTCTATTGTTCTGTCTGCGCGTCCATGGTTTTTTCCACGCGACTAGGGTCCACGCGAAGCACCACGTTTCAGATGTGCGTTTGCTGAGCTGTTGTCAAAGCAGCTGTCAGTACAACGCGACCACAGCTGCCCTGGGGTCAGAGCAGAGGATGTGAATCCTGTTCAGAAATGGAATAATTCCTTTTCAAAAACGTCTCAATCACTTTCACTTCTCACTTTCCAAAATTCTCCCCTCTTCCTGTTACTTTTGTTGGGCGTGTTCAATTCTTAAATTTTTCGCCACAATGCTCCCCACTACTTGTTACATTTGGTGGTTGCATCCAGTTCTTACGTTATGCTGCAATCTACCGATATGAAAAAGTATTACGTGGTTTCTCCACAGTTCAAGACAAGTTAGCACTCGCCAACAGTGGATGCAGTTATTTTTAGACAAAGTAGGCGAATTTCTCACGGCAAACCGGACGATATCATACGGCACACTTCTGTGCCGCAGCACAGTGGTTGAAAAACACTGCCCTAGAGCACAGGACATTCCAGGCCCAAGCGCTTCCAACACGGACCCACGCGCCTCCGTAGCCCAGCACTGAGGGTTGTCCTCAGGCTGGAAGCATATGTTCACAAGCACTGTGTCCCCCAATGTCAATCCTCGTTCAGTCCTGGTTTAGCTCCTGTTTTGGCTGTTTACAAATATTTTCAGTCTGCTCGCTACACCGCAAAGGTCCCCGTGACCACCGATGAAAATCACACTCCGGCAAATGGGATCTTGTGCACCAAAGAAACCTGGTCGTTTATTCACAAATGGGCAGTTAATTCAGACGCATATGCAGTTCCACGCTCTAACTATTGGCTATTGACTTTGCATTGAAAGTCGCTGCAACTCATGTTCCGGTCTGAATGTAAGTCAGTAAGTAATCTTTATTTATATACCGCCTTTCACAAACCAGAGTCACAAAGCGTTTTACAATCGTTATTGCCTATGTCAGTATATTGACGTATGCAGCGGTTCAACTCGACAAGAGGACTGCTATCACACAGTAGCAGTGTGGTTTCACAGAAGCAGTTGACTGCTTAAATCTGCAGTAAATGACTTTGAGAAATCTTCAAATGAGAACGATGAGCTTGCGCTCTCTGCTCGCCCTCCCCGCACTCACGGAGCTTTCGCCCCCCTCCCCCCAGCCTCTGCTCATGCTAACTCTTTACGGAGCTCACGTCTCACAATATGGACATTTGAACGTGGATGGCGTGACCATAGAATGATTGAACTGGGAAGCACGGAGGAACGAGACATTCTTTTGGATGGCTATATCGCTGTGTAAGCAGTAACCTGTAACAAAGACACAGCAAGCTTCAGGTTAGCCTCCGCCGCTTGTTTACCTCAACTGTCTGTGCTAACGAGAGACCTATGGCTTTTCTCAAGAAAGTGGGGGCCAGTGGTCCGCTGTGATTGGTCACAATTGGGACCCAAAACACATTCTCGTCCTTGTTTCACAAAAATCCGATCTAAAATAAAATGACACGCCAGCACAAATCTGCGCTACTTATTAAGGACGTATATCGCAATGCACTGCATGGATTGAATTTTCGTAATGAATACATAAATAAAGTCAGTTAGTGCAGCTTTAAACCAAACTTTACACAAAACTTTTACTCTTAAAACCAACATAAAACAATAAAAAAATATCTTGCCTCAAATTGCATTAAAAGTGACATTTGTGTCTTTATTCATTCGTATTTAAACTTTTTATACAATTTGCAGACTTTATGTTGTGAATTCCCTTTGCTGCTGTGAAACGTGCATGCGCAGGTTTGCATTACATCATAATCAGCTGAGGCTACACAACTTCACACGCGGCACAACCCGACAGAACAGTCTTGATTGCTCCAACAAACATCTTCAATTGGGGCTGATTTTGTGAGGGCAACCAGTTAAAACAGGGTGCATAAATCATGCAATTAAAATCACGGCAACTATAAAACCACTCCAAAGCATGCATTATTTAAAATCCAAAACTACATGTGGCAGTGTGGAGCGCGTCTTCCCTCCCCTTACCTGTTTCATTGAAGCACCTCCTCACGCACCTGCCTGCCACTGATTGCAGGGGCAGGACCGAGTGTTTTTAGGCCAAAGCCTGATGGCGCTCACTTTTTTGCCTCTCCTGTGGGAAGTGACAGCCTCTTTGAGTTGTGCTGGTGGGAAGCCTCACACAGCGGTTTGGTGCCCTGTTGGCACGCATGTGGGCTTGTGTGGTGTGAGCGCTGCCCTGGGAAACGCCTTCTGCTCTTTTTGGTGAGTGCGCATCATATCTCACACCTCCACTTGCTGCGCATTTGGCACTCACGCGCTTTTCTCTTGCTCCAGTGTGGCTATCTCCTCCAGTGTGGCAAACTTTTGTGAAGGGCTGCGTGAGCCCGTTGTGCTTCTCAGCCGTTACTTGTGGGTAAGCATGGTGCCATCTTCCCTTTGACCCATTTGGCTGTACCCAGTCACGCTAACAGCTCATTTTCATTTACTTGGTGCGCAATTACGCACAGCGGAGGTCGAGCGCGTGCCTCTGTTCGAGGTCTGGGGGACCGGTGCTTTCTGATTGGTGAGTTGCCGTTATTGCCTGATGTATACACAAATTCTAATCTTTAGTGGTCTAACCCTTACTTCCCCGCACTTCAGCGGGACCGAGCGGGACCGAGCTGCACCTCCCGCGGCAGTTTGGAGACTGCCAATCATCACAAGTACACAAATTCTGAGCGCTGTGTCCACCGGCGCAACTCCTCCTGCCTCCGCTGCTCTGGATTGACCCCACAGGCCAGAGTCGCTCCATCTCTGGACACTAGTAACCAACTATAGGCTAAAAAGCCCAATTGTACATTTTGTAAATTTTTAACTGTAAATATTGAGTTTGGGATTGCTTAGTTTTTTTGTGTTTTGTTCTGTGCGTGTGTGTGCGTGTGCATGTTTTTCCTTTTTGATTTTGCCAATTATAATGATTTTTCAAATGTTCCTAACCTAAAAATGCTTTAATCAAAATAAATGTTGTACTTTTGTAATGAGGTTTTGGTTTTTTCTCCGCCCCATCACTTTAAAAAGGGAAACGAACCTGTGTCTGCCTTGTGCAGGGTCCTAGGCCTACCCTAGGTGACGTTGTTGGCAATAGATACATTTTAACCAGTACTTTAAACTCTCGTCATGCCACACGTGGCGTTTGCTGGCAGGAATCATTTTTTTTGTTTTGTTTGTTTTTGTTTACTTTCCTATTTAATTCTTGTGGAAAAAAATAAATCCAGGACAGCGGTGGTGGTGTTGGGACCCAAGGACCATCCAGGACCTTTGGCAGTTTCTTGAGCTGACATGGAAGAAGTGCAGCAGTTAAAAGATCTTGTTTTACAGCTTCAGGCGGATAATGAGCAGCTCTGTCGGGATCGTGCTGGTTCCTTGGACCCTGGTGAGGGCACCTCTCAGTCCTCCGCTTCACATGCACAGTTCCCCACCACCGCTGTAGCGGAGCGGTTGTTGGTGGTACCAAGGGACCGCAAGTGCCTCATCTTTAATGGGAGGGCTGGCTTGGGGATCGCTGAAGGGGTCGAGGAGGTTGAGGCATGTATCCGTGCCCGACATTTGACTGCTGCCGATCGGGCTCTTTTCATCTTTGACCACTTGGAAGGAGAGGCTAAACAGGAGATCAAGTTTCGTCCCACTGGCAAACGTAGCGACCCAGGTAAAATCTTTTTAAAGGAGCTCTATGGTTGCCATCAGTCTTATATCACCACTCTTGGCAGTCTCAGCGAGGCACAGGTTGTCAGTCTGCCGGCCGGCATTACAGAGGATCGAACTACAACTACCTCTGTGAACTCTCAGAACGTTGGGCCCTCTATGCCTGAGAGAGTTGCATCACTGGAGCTATCGGCTCTGGTAGATCAGGACGCTGAAACACCCAGGGGTCTGTTGCGTGACTATGAATCAGTGTTTACAACTCATGAAACTGATTTGGGCTGCACTAACCATCTTTCACGCGATATCCCTTTGGTTGACGAGGTCGAGGTCGTTGACGAGGCCGTTAAGGCTCACATCAACCAGCTGCTTGAGGCTCAAGTACTTCGTGAGAGCTGCAGCCAGTATGCCTCACCAATCGTTTTGGTGCGGAAAAAGGATGGCAGTTTACGCCTCTGCGTAGACTAACGCCTGCTTAACAGCAAAACGCGGAAGGACGCTTTCCCTCTGCCTCGGATCGAGGAGACACTAGACTCGCTGTCTGGGGCTGTCTGGTTCTCAACACTCGACTTGGCCAGTGGCTACAATCAGGTCCCTGTGACCGAGGCAGATTGGCCCAAAACAGCCTTGTGTACCCCTTCGGCCTTTTCGAGTTTAACCGCATGCCTTTCGGGCACTTTCCAGCAGCTGATGCAGAGGATGTTTGGGGATCAGCAGGGTCAGTCCTTGCTGCTATACCTCGATGACATCATAGTCTTCTCATCCTCTGTCGAACAACATCTCCAGCGGCTGGAAGTGGTGCTCGGGCGGCTTAGGGCGGAGGGCCTATAGGTGCGGGTCGAGAAGTGCTCATTCTTCCAGCGTGAGTTGGGGTACTTGGGCCATGTAATCTCAGATCAGGGGGTGTCTACTGATCCCAAAAAGATCGAGGCAGTGTCCCAGTGGAAGCGTCCCCAGAATGCCTCAGAGCTGCGCTCATTCTTGGGCTTTGCTAGCTACTACCGCCGGTTCGTGGAGGGGTTTGCCAAGTTGGAGGGGCCTCTACACCGGCTGGTAGCTGAGCTGGCGGGCAGTAAATCAAAGAGTGGCTCGGGCAATGCGCTTGGGGCTGCTTGGATGCTGCAGTGCGAAGAAGCATTTGAGACCTTAAAAGCAAAGTTGGTGTCTGCGCCTGTCTTGGCGTATGCCGACTTTGCAAAGCCTTTTATTTTAGAGGTGGACGCTAGTTATAGTGGCCTGGGAGCTGTCCTCTCCCAAGAGACAACCCGTGGGGTGAGACCGGTGGCTTACGCTAGCCGTGGATTGCGGCCCACAGAGCGCAACATGGCAACTTATAGTTCCATGAAGCTTGAATTCTTGGTGCTCAAGTGGGCGATGACGGAGAAGTCTCGCGAATATTTGTTGGGTTACAGGTGCACAGTGTACACTGACAATAACCCGTATAGCCATCTCCAAACCGCAAAGTTGGGGGCGATGGAGCATAGATGGGCCGCTCAGCTTGCTACCTTTGACTTTGAAATAAGGTACCGTTCGGGTCGAAGAAGAAGACAAGAACAAGAACGCGGATGCTCTATCCAGGCAGCACCCGTCAGGCTCTGAGACCATGGCTCAATTGATGCCTGGTACCCAAACCCCCCTTGAGCTGCAGCATGGGCCGGTGTTGTACGATGAACTCACGGCCACCCAATCACTGGTCTCTGCTCTCCCAAGCCACTCGGCCGCCCACCTTAGGTCATTACTGGAGGAGGACCCCTGGTTAAGGGAGGTTCTTGGGTATTTGCGGCAGCAAACTAATCCCTCTCCTGCTGAGCGGCGTCTTCTTTCAAGGCCTGCCTTGGCCTTGCTGCGCCAACGTAAACGTCTGGTGGAACAATAGGGAGTTCTCTTTCGCAAGACGTACCGTTCAGATGGAGAGGAAATCTTGCAGCTTCTCCTGCCAGTTTCTTTAAGGGCTGAAACCTTGGGCAGTCTTCATCAACAACATGGCCATCAGGGCATGGAAAGGACTGCAGAATTGGTCCTTCAGAGGTGCCGTACCATCCGGCTGGCAATGGCCAATGTGAGCGATTTAATCGCACACTTCATAACCTTCTTCGCACATTACCATTGCCACAGAAGAGTAACTGGGCTGCTTGTCTACCTCAGGTGCTCTTCTGCTACAACACAACGCCTCATCAGGGTACTGGAGAGTCTCCATAATACCTGCTGTTTGGTCAAGAGCCAAGGCTTCCGATTGACTTCCTCCTGGGGAGAATTGATGAGCCAAGGCCAGCCGAGGTGCAAGGCTGGGTAGCAGAACACCAGGGGAGGCTGAGAGCTGCTTTCTGTTGTGCTTGTGAGAGGCTTCTTGTGGCTGCAAACCGCAGGAAGGAGCAGCATGATCTACATGTGCGGGACGCATCACTGGTGGTGGGTCAGCATGTCTATGTGAGGGACCATAGTGCCAGAGGGCGAAACAGAGGGCACCATCTGCTGGTGTACTGCTAGAACAACCACATTACACTTACAAATCTTTTTGACACACGCTAAGCGGCAGAGGTGTGTCAAAAAGAGATTTGTGTGTAAAACAGAGCCTGTGCGTAGCACTTAGGTTTTTGTCCGTTCTTCTCTTCGTACAACGTGGTTATTTACACACAGATTGTTCTGCTACAGATACAAATGTCAAATTACACACACACAAATCTGGGTACAGACGCACACAGTCCAAGTTACACTTGCGAATCTACGACGGCAGGACTGCGTCAAAAGATTCGTGTGTAAAAAAAAAACTTGTGTGTAAAACTTACTTTTTTTTTTTTACACACACACACACAAATCTTTTTACGCACACACAAATCTGGTTACGCACACACAAATCTGGTTACGCACGCACACATCTTTTTACGCACACACAAATCTGTTTACGCACACACAAATATTATTGAAACAATAATAGCTCCATACGCATCTAGCTAGGAGAATATAGACTCGTCTCTGATTGGCCGAGAGCGGACCAGGGCCCGCCTTCCCAGGGGTCAAGAACTGCATAGCATATAGCAGCCATTCCCAAACTCAGTAACACCGAGGCCCCCTTAAAAATCTGACGGGTCTGCGTGGCCCCCCAAAATAATAACCAAGAAGACAATATTAAGAATAGGCTCTTCTGGTTATTTTATTTTGGGGAAATAGCCTCTGCTACAAACATTGTAATACAAAAATGATTACAGTGGATTATTCAAGTCAAATATGTGGTGACAGTTTTTGGAGTAATTACATAAAACCAGCCGCAGCAAATACACGGACGTCAAAGGCCTTTTATCAATGCAGAGACGCCCTTCTGACGCCATGCTGAGCTTTGTGAGGGCCCCCTGCTGTCTGTCACACCCTTGTGTCTTTCGTATCTTGAATCGGTATGCCTGCTCCTATCCATATGTCCCTGCTGCCAGGAAGGAGCCGACCTGGATCACCAGCCTCTGTTCCTTTTTGGAGACAAAGGAGGGCGCGCTCGTCCCGCGCACGGAAGGAATCCTTTTGCCACACAAGACCAAAAAGAACCTAATCTGGTGAGTCTTGTCTTTTCATCTGCGTAACGAGCCCAGGGCAGCCCTTAAGTCGACACGGGGATTTGTTTATTTATGTATTTTTGGGGTATTTCATTCATTGCCACAGCATAGTCTGTGTGCGGGATTTTTTGGGGGGCTTTTTTGTTCTAGATTGAAGCTAGCGGCTGCGCGTTAGTATCGCACTGTAAGCGACCCTGGAATCTCTGAGTGTCTTCAGCCAGAACCGCTCCGTTTTCAAGAACGCGCGCTCGCTGGTTGAACCAGCGGGGGGGGGGAACGGAGCGCCCCAAAGTGGGTAAGAGCAGGGAGAGACTAAGCGGGTTAGGCCCATTGTTCGTACGAGAAAATGGGTAAAATCAATCTACAGATGCAAGCTATGAAGTGCTTGCCTATGGTGCAGGTCATCTGCGTGATAATTTAGAAGAAGGGAAGAAAAAAAAAATATACTTGGTTTTAAGAATATCACGGCAAAAGAGGTTAGAGAAAGAAATATGTAAAAACAATAGCTCCTCCGCCTTTCACCAAAGCGGAGAACACACAGGCGCACACACACGCCCTCTCTCACCTACTAACCCTTTCACACTAGGAGCAGAACTC